GAAATATCATATAAGTAGTTGGCAAAATATATAATCATTGGTGGATATCCCTCAAATTGGATCGGAATTAGAATTTTTCTTAGATTTCTGGGACTTTAATGATATTCGAAACTAGCAAAACTCAAGAGTTTGCGGAATTCGATTGTGGGCCATCGATACCCTCAAGCTTCCGAGGGCGTTAGATTATGCCATACCTATATCCGAACTTCGTACACGTGTACAGTTGCTGCCAAACATATACTAATAATCTCCCACCCACCAATTGTTCCAGCTGGTAATCGAAATTCAGACATTACTAGTTATCATAAAATCAATTAGTGGCAGAAAATATGCAATCCGATCCCTAAGTCTTGTGGATTTAATTAACTTAAAGAATTGAGACTACATTATTGTAAATTGACATGTCTCCAATTTGGGGGTCCAATGTGAAAGTGTGAGGTTCATAGGGTAATTATTTAATGTGTGGAGTGTGAACCAACCTACTAATAGGGTTTAGAGTACTGTTATGATGCCCTAATTGCAAGTTGTGAATTTTTAAATCCAAGTCTTGTAATATATAATAACCAATAAGATGATGATTACGTTCCCACTCTTAATTTTATAATATTAGCAACCTCATAAGTAATAATGCATGCCTCATTATTTCCGACAATTTAATTCCTAACAATTCCCTACTTTTATTTATTTTAGGGTAAATTAAAACTACCCATGAGGTATGATCAAATTACGAAAAACCTCTCATATCTGGATAATTACATATACCCCTCAATTAAGAATCTTCTTACATCTCCATCATTATTGTGTCAACTTCAATATAATCATCTAGATTCCGTAGAATGTTATCTAGTTTGTACTCGTTTTGTGCAAAAATACAGTTTCTGATGCACCACAAATCTGATATATACTAACCAAAAATGAAAAAAACACATCTGATGATCATCTAGCTTCAAAATGTGGAGCTCGAATGGGATAAAACGGGTACAAGATTGATAATATTTCATATAATCTAAAAGATTCCACTTAATTTGAACCGCAAGGGTGGACGTGTAAGAAGATTTATAGTTGAGGTGAGATTGTAATTACCAAAACATGCGGGTTTTTTTTCGTAATTTGACTATACCTCTGGAGTGGTTGTAATTTACCCTTTGTTTTATTTATTGGAGAATACTATATCAAGGGCCAATGTATATATTACAACCGTTCCCCTAAAGTAAGATATATTTATGAAACAACCTCTTATTTTTGTATAATTACAACTACACCCCTCAAATTTGTAGATATTTTATATTAACACCCTTTTGTAGAGGGTGGATGTAAGAACTTAAAAAACTGAAGGGGGTTGGATGTAATATCTAAAGAAAATATGTATGCACTGAATCCCCATATGTTTAATTTTTAATGCAAACTTTTTTAAGTTGGTTTCTCTTTTAGCATACGAAATGACAACTAAAACAAAATAAAGAAAAAAAGGTAATGATAATCATGATTAAATTTTAGAAAAGCAACACACTCTACATACAATGTATTTTCTTAAAACAAATGCAGATCTAATTAATATTGGTTAAAAGTTGCTTTATTCTGTTAAACATCTAATTAAATATGCATTATCTGTTTGGGTTTTGGGAATCGTAGGTATAAATTCCATGTGAATATAAGATAATACGATCTCTGTAACATGATAATAAAAACAATTAGCTGTAATTATTTAATTATGGCAACTTGAATATGTTATTTGACTTATTTCTAGCTTATGGTGAACTGAATGTACTTCAAAAGGTGAGAATGAGTTGAGGTGACTCAGTCAACTTGATAAAAAGTACGAGTATTTCCATTCGAACTCGAGCCATTGTTATGTATTCATAAGTTCACAAAATGGCTTCCTAATTAGTAGACAAAATTTCGTTCGAATTCGAGCTTATCATACCTATTAGACTCGGTTTGAAGTCGAGCTCGTTGACCCGTGATTGTATCTTACAACTTGTCGAATTGTACCGATTACTGA